AAATAAGTAAACTAAATTATTTCTATTGCAATTTGATCTATTTCACCCTCCTTCCTTTTGCAAGGTAGCCCTCTCAAGATGGGAGTACTAGATACTTTATGGGTAATCCTAAAAGACAGAGAAATAAAATCTTTACTTGGTACTTCCCAAAGAACTGGACAGTCTCAATTACACTGAAAGCCTACTACAGTTGATCATTATATAGTTTTCTGCACAGCACACAGAATAGGCCATATGATTACTGATAAGGATGTTTAGTTTATCTAAATGTGCATGATTAAAATGCAAAACTTCAGCTCTGGAACAAAGCTCATGATTAACATAATTAAAAAAGGAATCCTAAACTTCTCACTAACAAAAGTGAAATCAATTAAATTGGTTTTGACCTCATCGAGAAAAGCAAGGGGAGTATGCAAATTAACATAAAACAAATATATTTACACATTATTCAGAGCTTGAAATTGCAAATCAGTAAAAGGCAAATGATCATGATTAGACATTTACATTTCCTTTGCTTTCTAGAATGATATGATCCATAGATATAATACATAATTACATTCCCTGTAATTTCTCAATTTTAACTAAAACCATATGTAAAAAATATTTTTCTAAAATCAAAACTTGCTTTCTTTATTTCCTTGGATTTATAAAAGAGGTCTCCATATTAAATCAACCAAAAATAAAATCATCAGCTTTTAATTCCAATGTGCCTTTATTAATTGAAAATATGCAAAAACATGAACCCCACCTTTGCATTTTGTAGCTACTCTTATCAACTAAGATATCATATATGATATATAGTAAATCATGCATTCAGTATACTCTTAGGTAAAATTAGTTTGTAACATAAATATAGTAAAAGTAAATTGGAAGACAAAGGTCAACAAAATTCCACGAAGTAAGGAGCCAGTCCAAGCTCTATTTTCACAGAATATAATTAAAAGTTTGTAAGCCTTGCCAAGACATGGAACATAAACGCAAAGTTGAATGGTTTACAATGTACTACTGTGTTGAATTTCAGATTGTGGGTCTTTCATCACAAATTAGGAGCAATTTGGAAAGTGTGAAAGCAGCTCTATTTTGGGTGCCACAATGAACAAAAAAAAATGAAATTCATCAATTTATCAATTCTGTCAACTATTTTCCTTGTACTATATGCATATCTCTATGGAAGTACTGGTATGCTAACATCAGCATGCTGGGGTCAAATATGAGACTGAAGATAACTAGCCATCCAGATTAAGCTTAAAAATCACCAAAGTAGAATATACTGGGCCTCTAAAAGACGTAACCCCACTATAACATCATAAAAACAAATATCAAAAGTGCCATACACTGAAATCAATACCAAAAGTTTCGAACTCCACGTTATGCGACCAATATTAAATATCAGTACCACAAGATACCTCAAGAGGCCAATGCCCAGGTTCATGAACTTAGGTGGGCGTGGTATATTGACAGTATCGAGTTTGTTTGTTTATACATGCTCACGGTTAAATCAAAATCTAGAAGGAGTCAATACTTACTGTTTTCTGTTTCTTGCAGTCGATTGTTGACATAGTATCTTTTGAAATAACTGATGATCTTTCCCTGTACTGCAGCTTATTATTCGCCACGTCGTTAATGGACGGTTGAAATTTTATTTTGTGGTAGTATCCAATACCATCGATGTCAAAATCTAGGCATTTGAAGTGTTTGAATCTTCAAAATAAAAGGTTCAGACTCTGCTGGCGGTATTTCTTTTCGTATCTATGCATGTAAACAAACCTTTCATTCAGTAGAAATGCAGCTAGAAATTGGTGAGTATTTACATACATTATAGTGGATATATTATGACCTTAACCATCCAAGTTGTTTTAACTGACTCCTACGAGGAAGATTATAAAATTTTACTTTTATTTAAGGTAGAAAACAAGACACTTGCGTTCTAACTAAACAAATGAATATCGTTTTTATAAGGATCAATGGCGTTCTACAACATTTCCGTGAATGATAAACGTACTGATAATACAGAAAGGAAGAAAAGATAGTTGGAAGCATTATGAAAATAACACTACTAATACTTCATGTCTTTATCCTATGATAGATTACAAGTTGTTAACATTACAAAAAATGGATTCACACTATGCGAACGCTCCCCATTTGTAAACATTAGGTAACTCATGTTATCTCGGCCACAGTGTTACATATCCCCCTCGAAATGTTCAGAGTTTGCCGAATAGCTGGAGTTTTGTGCAGAGACCTAAAGACAAATAAGATATGTGATTTCCTATGCCGTGTCCAGTATGTAGGGAACAGAGTGAGTGTAAATAACGCCAATGTATTATACAGGACTCTGACCTACCGTCATTGTAATAATACCCCGAACCACCTCAGGATACTCACCCGAAGTGGGAGTCAGTCTTTGACATTGTCACCTCCTAAAGTATTGTTCACCCAAGCATACTTGACGAGGGGGATCCATCAGAGTCAAAAAGTCTTCAATAATGGCTTTAGCAGTAAGCCCATGAGTCAAGGTACAAAATCGACGTTATACTACATTGCCGCTGTGGGTGTTTTAGCACTTGGTCTGAGTTACGCTGCAGTTCCACTCTACCGAATATTTTGTCAGGTTAGTGATCAGGGTCTTAATGGATCCTAAGCATATTGTATTTATGACTGACTAGATGTTGATTACATAATCACTTCAGCTTCATATCTTCATATAGATTACACAGAATTCTCATTTTTTAAAATAATATTTTGGTTTTCAGGAGTTTCTGTCTGATTGAAGAGTTCATGATTAATAGTGTGATGAATTTTCAGGGAAAGTCTCTACAGATAGACCAGACTGTAGAGTATTTTTGTTGCACGGGAATATTAAATTTTTTATGTGTGGAAAATATCATTTTTTTTGCATTGCGCGGACAGATAGTGAAACAAGTTCACGGAAAGGTCAAAAGAATTTTATGTGTGGAAGATGATTTAGAAAAGAACTAAGCATGCACGAACAGTTGCCCGAGAACTATAGAATTTGACTAAATAATTTTTGCACGGGGAACACGTTCCCCGTGCAAACTGTACAGTCTAGCAGTTAGATATGAATTTTTATATTTATTTAGTTTTTCACATACTATAATTGATGACATTAGTGCTTAGCTTGAAGTTGTGACTGATGGTGTGAAGAGCAGTTGGCTGCTTTAAAGTGTAAGGGTTTCAAGTGTATAATTGGTTTGTTGTTTGATGAACGTAATGTTTAATTCCTATTTTCCTCTATTTAGAATCAGGAGTGAGGAATAGAGGTAAACAAGTCAAAGTTTTTAGTATTATTTGATAAAGGATTCTAGATTAGAAAGTTTACAAAACTGTACAGATGATGACAAATATCTTTCTTAAAAATGTGCATCTGGAAGATGTCACTGCAGAGCTACATATATTAAGTATATTAAATTTTGAACATAAACTTTCCATAAACTGGAAGACCATTTTATGTTGATCACACAATTTTTTAAAATAAATATAAGTATGCATTGATGTAACTACTTTGTATTCCTGTAAAGTCTAATCATTATTGTGTTTAAAATGTATCATTTTTGTCATGATTCATCTCAACTTTACTGAAACGAAATTGGCCTTTGTATTCACATTTGCATGGCTGGCACCATGCAGTCCTCCCATTTTATGCAATGGAGAGCTTTGACATGCAGTACAAACTTTCCAATCTGGAAATGATATAGAAAAGCTTACAGATCTCTGATAATAATTATGATAATAATGATGATCATCATGATAATGATAATAATAATGATAATAATGACAATAATAATAATGATGATAGTAGAAACAACAATAGCAATAATGATAATAATAATAACAATGTTGAGAATAATTTTAATAATAAAATAATAATAATAATAATAATAATAATAATAATAATAATAATAATAATAATAATGTTGATGATCGATAAAAATGATTATATTAATGATAATAATCATATGTATTTAACATTCACTTGAGTGACACTGTGTCACCAGTATTGACATACTGAAGAAAGAGTTGTTGCAGAAATCAGCCAGCCTGCAATGTATGTATGCTGTTTATTTGACAGATAAGGGTGATATCTGCTTCATGGAAGGTAGAGTATCATAAAAAGTGAAGTCAGAGTCATGGAAAATGTTATCAGTGACAGTTTCCTCTTTCAGGAACTCTTAGCAGACCTTCATGGGTTTGATTGATCTTAACAGAGGTGTTAATACAGTAATAAAAAGAAATCCATTTTACAGGCATACAGCTATGGAGGGACCACCCAGCAAGGTCATGATGCTGAAAAGGTTGAATCCATGCAGAAAAGAGAGGATCGTATTCTTAGAATTCGCTTTAATGCAGACACAGCAGCTTCTATGACATGGAATTTTAAACCACAGCAGAGCGAAATAAAGGTATTTAACTTAATGTAAAATTTGTTACTTATACTGAAAACTGTTGAAAAAGTAACAATGAAAAAGAGACCTCAGAGTTGATATAACTATTTTGCTATATATACCTACTTTTCCTTTCTGAAAACAGGTTGCTCCAGGGGAAACAGCTTTAGCTTTCTACACTGCAAGAAATCCTACAGATCGTCCAGTTATTGGTGTCTCCACTTACAATGTTATTCCATTTGATGCTGGTCTTTACTTTAATAAAATACAATGCTTCTGCTTTGAAGAGCAGTTACTCAACCCCCATGAAGAGGTTAGTGAACGTAAACTTACAGTCACCTTTGATAAGGGTGCATGAATCATGAATCTCATAGTTCATAGCTTTATGTGTTTATTTGTCAAGAGGAATATACAAATTTAACTAGAATTGTTCAGCAAAACTTTCTTCAGTTTTGAATATTATAGTTATAAATAAAGTAAAGTCCTATTCAATATATTGTCACTGATGTTATTGTTAAAGACTGTAATCTTATGTTTTTCTTTTTCATTTTGATACTAGCGAGACTCATTAGTGATGATACTTTATGAAAAGTATATTTGCTATGTAAAATAGTTATTTAGAATAGACTGCAGCAGCATTAGGATAGTTAGATATTTTCATGTATATTATCAAGCTCTACCTTGAGTAATTTTTGATATGGAAGTGAAAATGATAAATTTTTGTACATAAATGGCAGTAAATGAAGAAAATTGTTGATGCATTGCAGTTTCACAGATATTATTACAGATTTCTTTTTGCAAAGGATTTTGTTGTTAATTTTAACATCAAAGCGTTGCCAGTTCTTTTTGATCCCTTGTTACATTTGTCACTATGATACCCTTTCTATAAGTTCTGAAAATCCAGTTAAAAAAATTCTCAAAAGTAAAAAAGAAAAGAAAAAAAATATTGCACTTCTTTAATCCAGTAGCCTTTTAGATTAAATCATGAAATTATTAGTTTACAATAGGGAGAATAACTTGACTTTTACTTATTACCAGATATTAGTTCATAACTTGTTGCAAAGAGAAATGTCATATATATAATTTTTTGCCTCTTATGCACTGGCCAGTGTACGACTCATACCAAATGCCACCCTCAAGTATTTCTCACTGCAGGGTCTACTAGGCTCTGTTGTTTTTAGCAAAAAATAGGGCATGTAAACCTGATAATATTCACACAAATTTATTTTAAAATATGCCTAACAACAGTGATTAGTGTAATCCTTCTAGTTATTGATCTGCTGCCTTGTTATCTACTATTACTAGCCATTGAGATATTTAATGTCTGGTTTCACTAGCTTTAGCTAACTGGAACCAGACACTGGTTGGGGATTATCATGCTTTTGGCCAGGCCTGGTAATGTTTTTTGAGAGGCGATGGGAATCTATATTGCAAAATCTGTAAACTATGTTTATGAAATTGTAATATCACTAAAAATGTAATTTTACTGTCATTTAATTTCTTCAATCATTTTTTAAAACTCCTTCTGACTTTGTTCATTCTGAAGTCAAGAATTACTGTAATATTTTTCTCATTTCTTAACTTGTTCTCAAACTCATATGGCTTTAGCCACCATTTCCATTTCATAATTGCATCCTTTCACCATTCCAGGGGGATAATCCTTCTATTTATGGAATTACTCCTCCCACGTATGGTTTTTAAGCTGGATCACTCTTCAGCATGGTCAATCTAATGCTTATTGTATTATGAGTAATCTAGCTATCACTTACAGACCTAACTCTCCAGCTCTCTGTGAGAAAGTGGCCCCTCCCTTACTCTTTATGTCAGTATTTCTTCAGTTCTTGTTTAAACGAGCTTTTAGGTTGTGCACCTAGCCCTTTTTATCAGCCATTTGTCTTTCTTGCATAATCTTTCCTCCTTCATTGAGTATGTCTACATTTCAAAGGAAACTGTTTTGGATTTGGCAAGAACATTTATTCCCAATTCAGAATACTTACAAGTTTATTGAGTGTAAATGTATACTTTTGCTTTTCAGGTACACATGCCTGTGTTCTTCTACATAGACCCAGAGTTTGCAGATGACCCCAAAATGGAGGGTGTAGACACATTGACTTTATCCTACACCTTCTTTGAAGCACGTGAAGGTGTACCACTACCAATCCCCAATTTTGCAAGAAAATAGTTTTTTATTCTTCTTCTTTCTTTCTTTCTTTTTGTATTATTAGCAAGACCTGGAAGTTTTGAACAAGGTCCCCCCCCCAAAAAAAAAAAAAAAAAAAAAAAATCTAGGTATTGCACAAAGATTATGCTTTTATTTTAATAAATAAAGATCTAATAGTAAATGTGAGTTAGTTTGGTTGTTGTCTACAAGGAAATTAATTGTTGGGAAAGGTAATTCATGATAGGTTATTCCTTGACGAACATGTAAGAAAGAATAAAATATTGTGAATTTGTTTTACACATTTGGAAAGTTATCTGTTACAATCAATAGTTTAGCAATATTATCGTAATCAGTATCACAATTACATATTCAGAAATTTGCTTATATTACATCTTAATAATCCTTGGTTCAAGCACCAAATCAGGCACTTTATATTACAGAAACCCTTATTTTTGCATTGATATAAATCAAAATCTTGTTATGCATTGCTTAATATGACTCATTAAAAATGTATTAGGGGATGAATTGATCTGACGCAATCAGAATACTATAGAAATAGAAGAATCAGATACAGAGAATTTCATCTAAATACTCAAGCTTTCTGTTGAGGATAATATAACTACCAAAATAACAGGGTAATTTTTTTTATGAATATGTTGGAAACAAATGGATAAATTGTGTCATGTATGATACATGCTGTATTCCCTTGTTCCTTTACAAGCATACTGAATATGACTATTTAAATCCATACCAGGTAATAGGGTACTGAATTTGATTGTTATATAAGCTAGTATATTACCTGAAGTTTGTACTAGAATATTCTTTCAACAACTGCAAGTTTTACAAGGGGAAAGTTACAGAAAACAATTAACAAAAAAAATATTTGTGTATATATGTATATTGTGTATCATAAATTATTAAATACACCAAATATGA